TTTGTTAGAAGTCATTGACTAAGTCTAGTCTATGCTCAAGGGTATGGGAACTAGATTCCAGCTCTTAAAGGGATGACCATTACAGATTTTGTGGATAAACCTTAAAACCACCACAGGAGGTAACTGGCGGAGCTAAGGGATTGTAAAGGTGTTCAAATTGCCTTTATGGAAAAAAGAAGTCTAATTCCATTAGGATACATAAACTTAACAAGAATCAGAACACCTATAGAACCCCCCCCAAAAAAACATTTGGAGTTGAGATCACAAATTTGATTATCATTAATGTATTAATGGGCAGTTGTGGTAATTGGTTCTCATTCCTTAAGTCTTAAAAAGAGCAAGAACACACAGACCAAAAGAAGTCATCTCATCTTGCTCAAACCCATGCTTTCCGATGGATCAGTTCTTTTAAAGGCATGTATCTTATACGGAATTCTGTGTATGTGTTAACAGAAACAGAAATGACATTTAATTTCAAGCTCCATTAGTAACATATAGGGAATGGTAAGAACAAGGTCAGCCAAGATGGTGAAGGACAAAAGTATTTCATTCCAATTACTTAAAATAGTGTACAAATGCAGCATCTGAGATAATATTGAATGCTTGCCAACTTAAAATAGAAGGGATTATAGGAAAGAAATAGAAAGCCTTACGATACCTGAAAATCCAAAATGCTCTATTTTCTATTGAAATAATTGTTTTTACAGCAAGCATTCAGACCATATATAATAGATGTCTACAGTCTGCAGGCCAAATCTGGCATGCTTTCTGTTTATGTAAACAAAGTTTTATTGGAATACAGCTATACGCATTCCTTTACGAGCTGTCTCTGGCTACTTTTATAGTACAATGGCAGGGGTGAGTAGTTTCAAAAGAGGCTCTCTGGTCCACAACGACTAAAAGATTTACTGTCTGGTCCTTTACAGAAAAAGTTTGCCAATCTTTGGTGTAGCCTAAAGAAGGAGGATATATGAGTATTCTTAACGTCATTAAAATAATCCCCAGCTTTCAACACAGATTCTCTGGGCCTTAAAGACAGATTCAAGAGAAAACAAGAAGATCAAGAGACTGGCAAAAAGTATGTCATTATTTATTAAAACTTGCTACCTTTAGGGCAATATGACTAAAAGTTAATGCCAAGGATTTTCTCTCAGCCTAATCTATCTATCTATCTATCTATCTATCTA